AATTCTTGAACGTTTCTCATCATTATGTTGAGAGCAAGGATCATGTAATTTCTTATTTCTTTTCCTACACTAGGAGTGCCTAATAAATATTAAATACTGATATCATCATTAAAATTATAAAATTATAAAGAAGAAAATAGTATTGTTTTTTTATTTTTTTAAATGAGAAAAACTTATGGCAATAAAAAGAGAAATAAGAAAATTTATTCGTGTCTTTTATGTTTAACAACAAAAATACTAAACTGATAGACAGCTGTGGGACCTATGAATATGAAATGGTTTAACCACCATCAAAACCTAGTTTGAGAAATGAGCACTAGAGCATGCCCAAGCCAAATCGTTGACACCTAAACCCACCTCTGGTTTATTTAGTACCTTGCTGTTTCAAGGTCTCTGCAATTTTATAAACAACCAGCTCTGACTACTGAGGTCACAAAAAATCCAAATGGCCTTTGGACCTTGACCTCTTAGCATTCCAGAACCTTATGCAACTCATGCTCAGAAAAGGTTTGCAGAGAAAATGACCTCCCACTGGAGAGGGTTAATTTTGATGTTGAATAAAGTCAGAAGAGGCAAGAAAGCTTTTGCTGGTAACCAGTATTTTTTTTACCAGTATTTGTTTTTGATGAACAACATTACGTAAGTTAGGATCCTCCAGAGAAACACAACAAACAGGATATATATACACATACACACACACACACACACACACACACACTCAAGTGTACAGTATTTAAGGCTTGAGGTATTGAGAATATTGGGCAGACCAGCAAGCGAGAGCCCTAGGGAAGAGTTGCTGTTGAAAATTTGAGTCTAAAGGCAGCCTGAAGGCAAAATTCCTTCTCTGTCAGCACATTTTACTCTTATGGCCTTCGGCTGTTTGGATGAGGCCCACCCTCCTTACGGAGGGTAATCTACTTTACTCAAAGACTAGTGATTTAAATCTTATCACATTTAAAAAATAAACACCTTCGCAACAATATTGAGGTTAGTACTTAGATGGATACCATACAGGTACCACAGCCTAGCCACACTGACGTGCAAAAATCAACCAGCACAGCCATCAGTGTTCCTTACCATGCCCTCAATTGCAGCTGCACTTCATTCAGCCATCAAGAGAGGCAAGTTTTAGATTTCTTCCTGAAACCCATGGGACTAGCCCTTCTTCAATTGTATGAGATCTCTGTGCACTACACTCTGCACCAAATAGCTGCTGGTCAGTGCCTTCCTTGTGTGTTATCCGACAGCGGTTAATGAAGCCTTTTGGTATGAGCAGAATGTTTTTACTCCCTTTGGTCACGTATTTCTGTTCCACAAACATTTCCAGGGAGATGCCCCAGTATAAAGACCTATCACATTTCACCAGCATGGTATTGCTCATTAGTAAATCATCTCAGTTGCTTTGATGCCGAGAAGTAATTGAAATTCCTTTGTTTATAAATCTGTGTATTGGATTAAATATTCATGTCACCTCTATTGTGACCAAAAATACACAAAGGGTTCCACCTGCAATAAAAGTTTAATCACAATTTGATATCAGGGGCTTAGAATGAACCCAGAGCAGCAACTGTGTGGCCAGATCACTGTGCTGGTCGGAAGCAGGGGTCAGACCTTCATCAGCTCTCCTCAGACCCTCTCACCTCTCCACAGACGGACTTTACGCTCCTACCTTCGGGATTTCCTTCTTCCTGTTCCTTGCATTACCTGAAAGGATATGGAGGTCTCCAGCCAGGAGCAAAGCCCTCAAGAGTTTGACTTAGATGAAATAACTAGGAAAATTTTATTTCTTGACAAATGGAGGGGAATCTTTAGTTATCACGGGTAAGATGTTCTCATTTTCTCATTTCTCCAGAAGCTGAGCCATTTTAGGTGCTTAAGAAATCAACTTCTATGCTTGCTACATGAGAAGTTTCCATTATATGTTTACATCTAAAATGTTCTCCCTATAACTATTTGTCGCCAGAGACTCTCTTAGCAAGATTGGGTTTAGGAAGGTGTGTGCATATGAGACTTGAATGGAGTAATTTACTTGATGTTTTCTTTTTTCATTTATAGGTTAGGAACCAATAATACAACTCCTGAGGTAATTACTTCCTCCAAGCCAGTGTGTTTTCTTCTCATTGGTTCTTCAATCACATTAGCAGCATAATCTGCGTTTGTTCAATGCACATAATGTCACTCAGGCCCTGCATTTAACGCATGAAAACACAAAACTAGAAAGCTGGTGTACGTTTTTTTATGCTTTCTTTCTTCTTAAATGTATCTTCCTACTTTTAGGAGCTACTTTTCATCATTAAAAGCACCATGTGGTTATTGTTTTAGAAGAAAAATGATATTAGAATCCAAAGTTTCTACACCCATGAAATAATGCTAGATTCTGACAACTGATCACTTCAGTATCCCTGAAAAAAGTAGTTTGAAAAATAGTTATCTTTATTTGGCTTCTTAAAATTGTTTTCCTTCACCATTTTCAAAGAAGGGAAAGATGATTTTAAATTCCAGTTTTTAAAAGGTATTTGAAAATAGGAAAATGGACCCATATTGAGGATATACTCCTAAGTGAAATAAATAAGTCACACATGTGTAAATAATCAATAGTTTCTCTGGTGTGAAAAACTATAATAGTACATAAGATCCTAATGAGATAATTGACAATGTGAAATAGGAAGAAAAGGGCCAAAGGTGTAGGGAAAGTGGGAAGGGTAGGGGAAAGGTAATAAGGGAAAAGGAAAAAAATGAGAAAATGAAAAAATGGAAATAAAGTGTTTGTAAATGGGGAGGGAAGGAGTGGGTGAAGGGAGGGCAGGGACAAGGGGGAAAAATGAGAACCAAGACCTGTCATGTAGAGGTACAAGATCCAATAACGAATGTAACCGTACTACATACCTAAAATGTACCAATAAACTAAAATAAATAAAAGGTATTTGAAAATCATTTGTATAATCTAAGATGAAAGATGTTTGTAGCTCATGTAACCTTTCAGGTTATGAGGTAAGGGGACTTTGTATTTCAGTCTCTGATCCAACATAGTACAAAATATTAAGATGTTTTTCTTGGTACTAGTCTATATGATCAAGAAATTGAATTATTAATATTTTAACTATAATGTTAAAGCAATTTGCTTCAAGTAGCCTGTGGTCAAAAACCTTATTTGTGCTAAAAACCCTCTTAACCATACTGTAAATTAGAATCAGGGAGATAATGCTTCTATTTTAGTCCTGGAAATATTAAATGGAGATAGCTACTATTGGAAGGATAAAACATTCAAAAGATAAAACAATCTTTGCAAGGAAAAAGTAAATAAATGTCAGGTTAAGCTTTGTACAAGCTAGGGGAAGCCCATTGGCACAAATGTAAAGATTTTCCATTTGACTTAGAAAATGCATCTTATCCCATCAGTCGTCTGTAACTTGGATGCTGTGTTTCTGAGATAAGACAGCAACTTTGCCTCTAGAAACACAGAAAGACTAAGAATGCAGTGTCCTTCACGTTCCAGCTACCAGGAGGGACGTTTGTTTCATGACATTAGTATAGAAGCTAAGTAAACCGGAAGAAGAGTTGATACTAACTTATACTGAAATGCCATAAGAGAATCAGTTAAGAGAAGTAAAAGTAGATTGTTTTATAAAAGGTGGGGGTAGATTATTTAGAGAAGAGAATTATTAAATCACTTATGAGGATATAGGAATCTGAAAGAATTAAAAATTGGTAACTGGATTAATTTATTGACTGGTTTATAATGTAATGAAAAATACCTTTTATAGACTGGAAGGAATCATTCCACATTCATAAAATGTCTTCTCAAAACAAGAGACGGTGACATTTACATTCTGCCCTAAACATAATTTCAAGTCAAGGTCTTGATAGCATTAATTATGTTTCCATAGTTACATTTCACCTCTCCAAGTCTCATAAAATTTACAGAAACCCTTTTGACACAGATAGTGGAACATTTTCACCTCTTTTATTGCTATTTATCACAATTTTCAGACATCTTTAAAAGTGAGACATTTTATGAACAGTGGTATTTCAGAGAAAGAGAAAGAAAAGATTTAAAACAAGGTCATCACCAGCTCTGTTTGTTTTGTGGGTTTGTTTTGGGGGGTTGCATTTTATTAAGAGTCACAAAGAAAATCAGGTATCAGCAAATGAAACTGAAGACAGAACAGGAAGACCTCAACCAAAAGGACAAGGACATCTGCCATCCAGTAGGCCTTGTTCTATTCCCAAACCCTCCATCATCTCTTCAAAGTTGGGCGGCTCTCCTATCTCCCTAGCAATGGCCATGGTAAGTACAGCTTGTCCATTAAACATGAAACGAAACATAATCTTCCTAACACAACAAGTCTGGGGAATCTTATCTGCTGTCATGTGAGAGTTTTATTTGAGATAAGACTACAGAAGGCTGTTATTGGTAAAAGGAGTATATAATTAAAATGACTTATTTATGGTATTTTTCAAGGACAATACTGATGGTAGCCTTTTCCTCCCACACTCTGAGAGGCTCTTTCTACTCACTTTCTCAATGTGACAGTTCAGTTTGAAGGTGGAAAGGAGTTACATTCAAATAGATCACTATATAAGGCAGAATAAGACAGTCCCTCAAAGTGGCAGACCATGGAGTGCTGCTAATGCATAGAACACTGTAGATGTTTAAGAAAGGTTCCTCCTTGTGTGTGGGCAGAAGGGAGCAGAGTAGGGGAACTCACCAGGCCCAGTCTTGGGTAAGGAGCTGGTTTCAGGTAGGAAACATTTTCTGGGGCTGCCAATTAATGCATAGGTTTTAAAAGAATCTTGATATTTGAGGATCTAAGCAGCCATAGAAGCTACTGGTCTCAGGGACCCTTATGTAAGTCAAGACTTGAGCAGGGTGAAGATAGGGTTTCTGGTAGGGACCCAGCCAGAAGGCAAAGCTGAAGACATCTCATTGGGTCAGATGGACCAACGCTCGAGGCAACACTTCAGAAGATGTCCAAAGAAGCAGTTGTCGTGTTGAAAAAAGATATAATTGGAAAATGGGGAAGCGAGGAAGGGGTCAGACCAGGGCAAAAGTAATTGCGAGGGTGAGAGATCTCTCCAACTGGGTTGCCCTCTATCATAATGAAACTCAGAGCTTCTTAAGATAACTGGCCCACTTCCGCCTCTTCCCTTGAACTTCTTTACCACACACTGGAACAGGGGTGGCGAACCTATGGCACACCTACTGCAGTGGGATGTTTGTATCAACTGAAAGATCTAAAAGGTTCGCCATCCTGCTCTAGAACCTCAGGTAGAGTCCTTTCCTTGGAGACTGAAGAACAAGAATCAGAAGAGGTTATCATACACCTGCGGTGTTTGCAGAAACAGCCCAGGAGCAGTTGAGGCATCTGGATAAAGACCAGCAGCATTTGCCCTGCGGCCAGGCCGTCATGCGCATAAAGCTGCAGAGCTTGTGCACTGCACCCAAGGTCTCAGCTGAGAGGAATTACTGGGGGCTGAAAGGTCCTATGGAGAAAACACACAAAGTATTAATACAAAGTCTCCATTTGCTTTTTGAGCATGAAGCCTAAATAACTCTGATTGCGGTATTTCCAACTCTTAATTTAACCTTTCCATAAGCTCCCAGACCAGATGTGGCACTACAGCCCTCCAAAGTATTTTGTTGTTGTTGTTGTTGTATATATCCCTACAGTCTTCACAAAACAACTCTCCCCACTGTCATGTTTGCAGTGTTGATGTACTTGGAGGCTTTGTTTGCTCTTTCTCATTGTCAAAAATCTATCTGCTTTAATCGACTTTCCTTCTCTCTTTGGCTCAAATACCTGATGTCACAGGAATACAGGCAGGTGGCAGAGCTCTCGTAAGATGCCGTGCTTTGCTTGTTGGCCTTGATGCCCTAAAATAGTGCTTTAACTTTTGTCTCATATACCTTATTAGCTGCTCTCCTTTCACACATGAAGACGAGTAATATGCAATCCTGTTGGCGCTTCTGGGTCTAAGTGATGATGCTGCCTTCATTACTAGAGTTACAATAACTACATGTTGAGCATCTCTAATCCCCAAATCCAAAATGCTACAAAATTCAAACCTTTTTGAGCATCAGTATGGCAAGTAGAAAGTTTCACACCTGACCTCGTGTGCACTAAACATAGGCACAGGAAAAATATTATATAAAATTATCTAGGACTGTGGGTATAAGGCATCTAATATATGAAAAAGAAGTGAATTTTATGTTTAGACTTGGACCACATCCCCAGGATATCTTATTATGTATATATAGATACTATATTCCAAAGTCTGAAAAATGCCAAATCTGAAATGGTTCTGATCCTAAGCATTTGAAGTGAGCAATACTCAACTTGTATATGCATTTTGCTTGACAATATTTTTCTTTTAATGAAAAATGTGTTATAAGATGCATTCTTGAATTCAGAAACAAATTTCTATGGAAAGTGTCATTTTAAAATGTATACATGTCCGGAAAATACCTTTTATGTAAAAGAGAGACAAAACTCTGATTTCATATTGGTATTTGCCCGTAGATAAAGAAATGGATTCCAGAAGGTTTCACAGGACACAATGGGGTCAGGATGGGGAAGGCCCTGGGGAAACATGGATGTGAAGGAGTCTTTTTGCAGCATACATGTTTGTTCTGGATTTTAAACATCTATTTTTTAAAAACACACACATTTTTAAAATAGAAAAAGCACTCTCAGATGTTTACCAAGCCTTTCTCTATATTAGGGAGGCAGGAGAGTCTGGGTCTGAATACTCCCACTTATCAGCAAACATGAGCAGCTGCAGTGGGAGGCCTCCTCTGTGACCCTTCCGAGGTAATGCTGGCCCTTGGGCAAAGGCTGGGGAATAAAAGCTTCAGAACACTGCAGCCTGCAAGCAAGCTGATGACATGCTAAGGAAGTCCTTGAAGCAGAGAATAATTGATTTTTCTTATTTAAAACCAAATTTGTATTTATTCCCATTATGTGGGCCAGAAAATAGGGTGTCCTCTAAATGGCAGTAGCATTAATTAAACACACCCTGGGATTTCGCCATGATGAGCCCTGGGATCCTGAAAATGTTAGTTCCAGGGAGGCAGCTGGGAGGCTTGACCGATTCTAGTGGACACTGCAGCAGTGTGATTACCTGGCAGATTATTAGAGCTATTGAATCCTAATGCTTATTGGAGAATGCCTTTGATATGGATCTGCTGGTCTCTTTTTCCCCTCACTTTGGAGTTGGGCTGCATGGGGTTTCTTGACATTGGCTCCCACTGTCTCTTTGCTGGGAATCTGCTCAGAACTTGAAGGTTGGGTAAAACAACCTCCACATCTGTGCTTTCCTCACTTCTTTGCTTCTCACTTTTTGTTTCTTTCAGGTACAGGAGCTTTCTTCTTCTCAACTTGATGCCTTACAGCATGTGTGGGACGGTCAGCTGGGAGACTGGAATAGATGCAGCACCAGCAGGCCTGCCCATGGCTTTCCTTGGTTCCCCATCCTTTTCAAACCCCAGGCCCTTCTCCCAGACTCAGCCTGGAATGCATTCTTTTAGCCTCTTATTAGCAACCAGTCAACACAACCCCAGTGCAGCAGCAGCATCACCCAGCAGTATAGGAAGAATGTAATGCCAGAGACAAAGACTTTTTGGGGAAACCCAAGTGAATGAAGCTCTAAAAGAGGGATAACAGGCAGGGATGCTTTTTGGGGAGGAGGAAGCAGAGCCTGGTGCCCCCAGAATAAGGTCTAGCCTATAGGTGGATCTCAATAGTTGTCTGTTATTGTCGTTTGTTTGTTTGTTTTTGTGCTACTGGGCATCAAATCCAGAACCTCATGCATGGTAAGCAAGTGTCTACATGCACTTAGCTACAACCCCAGTCCCTCCAAAAGTATAAACTAATTAATTCATTGCCTCTGGACATGTCCCTAGGAGCATTTCAGGAACTGGAAGGGGGTGTCTTCTCTGCCATTTCTACCCTGGCTTCTGCTCTGGAGGCTGAGTTGTATGGTCTCCCTCAACAAGAACCTTCCTCTTCCACCTTCCTGTTGAGCAGTGGGGAATCCTGAAAAGGAGACTGGCTGGAGAACAGTCTTCTCCCCAGGATGCTTTCCTTTCTGGGTCCTTTAGATCTAGACTTCATTATGACTCCCACTGTTGCCAGGCTGGGACACTGCATTAACCTTGGTGGTGCCTCCTTTTCAGCCCCTCTCTCTGTAAATAGTCCTCTACTAAATGTTCCTCCAGTTGACTATCCTGACCTGACAGTGTCATCTGTTTCCTGGCTGGTCCACGTTGAAAGGCTTGCATTTGGGTTGTACATTGCTATTTACTGCATATGAGACCTTAGGCATGCCATTTAACTGCTTTGTGACTCATGCCTTTTAACTGTAACATGAAAGGGTAACTTTTTTTCTAATTCAACAAATACTTATTGTGCACCTTCTATTTGCCAGGTATTACACTAGCTGCTGGTGAACATGATAGAACCAAGTCTATCATGCTCTTAGGTGGTTCAGGATATAAATTTCTTAGGACTCAGTAATTCTAAAATCTCTGATTCCATGATAGCCCGGTGATTTATAAACCAAAATACATTCAAAGAGGATTATTCTTCCTCAAATTAGGGGTGAGGGAGGGAGAAGACTAGGCTGGGGCAAATGGTCACAGGGAAACTGTAAGCCCAGAGATAGAGGACAAGGCAGTCAGGTTAAGATAATTAAACCTGTTGGGAAGAGTGATTCAGGACCTGTCTTTGAAAGTTTATGTATGGGCATATGTGTGCATGATGATAATTATCATTATCATGATCATCAAAACAACCCAATGGAAGTAGGTGCCAGGAGAGACAGAGAGAGGCGTGTATTACAAATACTAGAAAACTAGCAAAGTGCAAAGAAAGAAATGGTAGACTGTGCTTGATTGTGTTAAGTAATAATAATCATTACACTAATTTTTTAAAGACCAGTTACTATTTGTGGCTAGTTCCCAGGCAACTCAACAGCACACATCTATCATTAAATATGTGTTAGCTAATTTTTTTCATTTGTACCGGGGATCAAACTTAGGACCTTGCACTTACAAGGCAGGTGGCAGCACCACTGAGCTAAATCCCTGGCCAGCTAATCTTATTACAAATTATGTTTTATATGACACGACACGAAATGTCAGCTAGGTGAGATGGGTCATCTTTGTCACTCTGGCCAGGGGGGTGGTCTACAGAGAGGCCTGTGACCCTTGTGAGGCTCCCACAGGTGCAACTGGAAGGCGAAGCTGCCTGGCAGAGGCAACAGCTCCTGTCTGGCTACAGAACCAGGAGTCCAGTGTGACTCGCAGACATTTTTACTTAGGATTTGAACCCTAAGACTTCTCAGTCTCAATAGCCTTAATCTTTCACATTTACACATGGCCTTTCCTCCCTTCTTTCTGCTGGGCTCTCATCCTTTCCCCCTGTGTTGGGACCTCATGTCATACAGCACATGATATTCTCATGTAGATAGGCTGTGTCTTTACAGAGATAATTACACTACATTTACTCAGCACGTGTTACTCCCAAAGCCCCTTTCCATACTCTTCTTTCAATAATAGCTACGATATAGACCAAAAAGGGTTACCACCATGCCTGAATAAATACATAAGAAAGGTCCAACAATTTGTCCAGGTTCTAGTGATCAATGAGGAATGAGCTGGCCTCTTGGGTCAGGCCACAGATACATTCCACTCTCAGCTCCACCGTGCTTGCTGCCCCTTGGCTACGCACTCAGCTCCAGTCACACTAAACTACAGGCTCCCCCTCCAGGCCCCCTGAACACTGATGTGTTTATGAACATGTGCAGAGCTTCTTCTCTGTCCAGGCCCTTCTCATCTGTCCTCTGTCTTCACTGGCCTCTCTGTCCTGCCACTGTTTTGAGCAATAGGTGGTGATGTGATCCGTCTCAGAGCATGTGCCCCTGCTGGCAGTGGGTGCTTTTAAGGATGTGGCTTTAAGTAACAGATCACAGATCATTGTGTCACCCAGGGAGGAAGTTATGTCTTTCTCTACTGTGGCAGGCCAGGGAGCAAGACTCAGTAAGGATCAGTGCGCAGTCACATCCCTTTAATACTTCTTACTTTGCCGGGCTGTCCATATAATGCAATAGTATTCATCAGTAAAAAGATATGAAATGTTAATATAGGCTACCAAAGCTTGAAAATATTACATCAAGTGAAAGAAGCCAGGTCAAAATGTCACATATGCCGGGCGTGGTGGCGCACGCCTGTAATCCCAGCACTCGGGAGGCTGAGGCAGGAGGATTGCTGTGAGTTTGAGACCAGCCTGGGCTACATCGTGATTTACAGGTTGGTCTCAACTATACAGTGAGACCCTGTCTCAAAAAACCAAAAAAAAAAAAAAAAAAAAAAAAACTTCTTACTTTCCTTTCCCTGTTTAAATCATAAATAGGGGAGGGCCTAGTCAGAACTGTCATGGACAACAATAGTCTCAAGGTATAATTTGTAACATTGTTTAGTTTTTATTGTATATTTAAAATCACGCATGGAAGTGATTTTGATCTTCATTTGTGGAAGTACTATAAAGTATTCCTTTTAAATTACAAAAAGTAGTCCAACCTAATGAAGAATATCAAGTAGTGAATGACACACAAAAATGATAAAAAGAATAATAAAGATGACAACTATAGGACTAAAGCAGGGGCGTGTTGGGAGAAGAGGTGCAAACCCCAGCTGTTTCTACAAGCTGTGTGACATAAGAGAAATAAACACTTTATCTCCTCTGGGTTCGATTCCCTTATCTGAACAAAAGGAAGACAGCAGTAGTGCCTATTTCATAGAATTAAGTCAATGTAATGCCTAGTGCATAGGAAACGTTCAATAAATGCTGGAAGCCGTTTACCAGTCTAGTTTAAATGCTGCCTCTTCCTCAAAGACCTCAGAGTAAATCAACCTGAAGTTCTCTCTCCTCCCACTTTTTCGTGCTTTTATTATATTGTGGAACTTCACACATTCTGTCCTGTATAGTTTCAGGGTGTTAACAGATCTGTACTTCACGCAGGGCCTAGCACATGCTAAATGATTGCCAAGTCTTCAATTATAAATGGACTCCATTTTTCTTCATGACTGTGTTATAAAGACTTGTTCCTATTTTTCTTGGAGGTTCTAAAAAATCCTCTCAGATCTCAGCATGCTGCAGAGTGTTCAGGAAAACTTCAGAGATCCTGGGGCAAGAATACTTGTTGAATGTCACTGAACTCAGTATTGCAGTTGGGCTAGACACATGAGATCCTGTCACTTTTTTTCTTGATCAAGAGAAAGAAGCCAAATAATTGAGGTTATGGAATCATAGCTAGGAAGACAAGTGGCATAGGAAGAGAGCATCAGCACATGGTGGACCACAGGGCAGATGGTCAGCAGTGGAAGGTGGGACTCGGGACAAAAATCAGACACAGTGGTCTGAGGTGAACATGATGTGGATATTTTGCCCAGGACTTTGTACAGTTAAAACTGGGGACTACAATAATATATAATTTTGAATATAAAAGGGAGCAAAGCCTTCCTCTATGATCCTGAATCTAGGAAGGATTATCTTTGGTTGAATCAGGTGTTTCCCTTCTTTTCAGAAGCTTCGACAAACCCTCTTTGGAAATACTACCCACGTCTTCAGCTACGACTGGAAAAAGGCGCATTTCAAGTTTCATGATCCTTTCTCTGACCTAGCTTTCACTTTGGCAGTGGAAAAGGTAAAGCCAGTTCACAATTTTTAAAAATTCCTGATGTCATCTTCTTTTTCTGTGCCTCCTTCTCATCTACATCCACATAACTACATCTTTTCATTATAAAATGTGTGTAGAAATACATGTATAAGTTACAAATCAATTTTAAATGAAAAAAGACAATTATGGCACATTGTCTGGGTTATAACAAATTTCTCCTTGTTCTCCCGACTTATTTACAAATTCTGCTTTTCCTGCATCTTCTTTCCAACTCTTAAGCGTCCCTGAAGATTCAGAAGGCAAAAGGAAATCTATAAACTTATTTCTGGCTTGTTTGCAATATCAATAATTCACATCATCAGTCACCCTTACATTCTAAGGGCTAGCTAACTAATTCCTTATCTCCTACAAGTCAGAAAGTCTGCAGCAGGGGCATAGTAATGAAAGAATGGCGTAGAACATAAATCCCCAAGCACTGGTCTGTAGACTTCACAAAGAGGCTCGCATTCCACATTTGAACCTGGCAGTGGTGTGTAGCCACAGCCGCCAGCCCTGGGGGATGGAAGGAGAACTCCTGCAGAGGAGAGTAGGTGATATCCATCTTCAAGAGCTCTCTTTGGCCACACTGTCCCCAGCGGCTCTAGAACAGCTGTCGATCCTAGCCCGCAGCCTTCATGCTTAGCTCTGCGTCCTCTCCTCGGTTTCAGGGCGGTTCCCGGAGCGTTCAGATGGCTGTACAAGGATTCGTCATCAAATATTTGTTATTTACCAGGAAGAGCAAAGACTGTAACTTTCAAAGGTGAGAAGTGCTTAAAAGCGTGGGCTCTTCCTCAAGAACCGCTTGCTAAATAATCACAACTGATAATTTCAGGTTGTGTCAGGAAGGAGATCTGCCTCCTAAGACAGAAAGAGCTTTTCCCCTTCAAGGGGCTGCACTGTGTCGCTGCTGAGGGCTCTCCTGGGGTCACTCTGAATGCTCAGCTTCAGGAATAAGGCTGACAGGTCTTATGCTCTACAGCAGACCAAAATTAATCAGCAGGTCTCAGGTGGGCTCACTTGTCCCTATCTGATCAGAGCTTTAACCTCATAATTATAAGGGAGAGCAAAAGGAGTGAAAAGAAACCCCAAGAACAAGGATCTTTCCTCCTATTTAACCAGGCCAAGGGACAATGTCTGATAGTTGCTTTATTTTTAAAAAATCAGTTGACACTTATTCAAATTTACCTTATTATTACATATTAACAACCTCTATCCTGAGCAGAACCCTGTGCTAGGTATTAGAGGAAATATAAATACATCTGCCCTCGGGCAAGATGTTATCACCTAAAATATGAACAAAATGTATAATATATTCCAAGATCATAAATTGCCAGGTTCAGTGGAAGCAGTAGGACTTCTTTATGCCAGTGATGTATTAAGGAAGTGCTCTCAGGAGAAACCAGTGAGAGAGTGAGTGTTTTAGTCACTTTTCCATCCTGGGCCAAAATACCCAACATCCATGACTTAAAAGAGGAGAGGTGTATTTGGCTCACAGGTTCCAGTGGATTCAGTCCAAAGTCGGCTGGCTCCAAAGCACAAACAGCATAGAGGAGAGGCCTGGCAGAGCACAGCTGCTCTTCCTGAGGCAGCCAGGAAGTAGCAGGAGCAGGGAGGAGCCTGGGACAAGAACACTCCCTTCCGGTCACATACCCAGTGACTCACTTCCAACCCAGGCCCTACTTCCTAACAGTAAATTATTTATTGAACTAGTTGATAAATAAATAAATAAATAAATCTAGTCACCTTACAAACAGATGAGACCTTTGGGGGACATTTAGATCTAATTTATAGCAGTGAGGGAAGCAAGACAGGGAAGAAGAAACAGCTAAGGAAGGAAGTGGTTTCAGTGATGTCAGCCTGATCCCAGGTGGAGCTGGAGAGAGAAACTGCAAGGCACAGGCCGCCCTGCCTTAGAGAAGGGAGCAGCCTTCGGTACCTCCCAGGCCAGCCAGTTGTTGGCAATGGGCCATCCAATAGAGAAGGGAGCATAGCTCCTAGTCACTTCTGGGCAAGGAAAGTGGCTCCAATCCTCTGAAGAGTGTTAAAAGTGATTAGCAGTGGGCCCCCAAGCAGGCAGGGGACATGTCCACCATCTGAGTAAAAGGGATCCTAAGCAATTCAGAAGGAACAGACAGGCACATGCATTCGCTACCTCAATGCACAGCACTTAACACAGCATCTGGCCTGTGGCAAATATGAATAAATAAACTGTTGTCCAAGCAAGCAGTGCTCAGCCTTGCTGAGCCTTCTCACCATTCAACCCCTCTCCTCCCTCTACAGTTACCCTCAGAGCCCTCTGTCTCAGTCTCAGCACCATGGAGCAGGAATGATAGCGCTTACTGCTGAGTTCATTCACAACCTCTATCATATATTTCTTTATAAAGACCACAGCTGCCAAGGTTAAATATTTAGAAACAAATCAGAGTGAGGGTCTACCATGTAAAGGCTGGCTCGTTTCCCAGGTAGGTTGGAGAGACTCAGAGCACTGAGCACAGAGTAGTAGCTCTGATGCAGGACCCAGAAGGTCTGAGCTCAAGTCACTGCTTTCTCACTTTAAAGATGAACGACCAAGGGTAAAACTACTTCACCTCTCTGGGTCTTACTTTCCTCACCTTTAAAATGTAAGTAATAACAGTATTACCTTGGAGGATTCTTGTGGCAGTTAAGTGAGGTGATACAGTGAATACTTTGTAGTGAGTGCTGGGTGAGTGGGTGTGAGTATTACCCGAAGTAGACCTTATGTGACGTGTAGGCTGTGACTAGGTGACAAGGACAGGTATGAACAGTAGGGGCACAAGTGCATGAGAAAAGACATGGAGAGAATGCTCTGGGATCGTTCTGGGAAGAAGGTTTGAAAGATGGACATCTGAGAGATTAAACTGCTGGGATAATTTGGGGTTGAGCTTGGAAAGGGCATGCTAGTGCGAGACAGAGCAGGGGCTGGAGTGTATTTTGGAGGCCAGTGTCAGCACTAGCTGGTGTGAGATGGCACAGGGTGGGACTGGCCGAGACTGCTGAGACAAAGTATTCCCTGTCACGAGGAAGTTGCAGTCACAGCAAAGGGTCCTCTGAAGACACTCTCACATTGCAAGTGATGAAGGAACCAAATAGACACCCACTGCGTTCAGAAGTAAACACAAAATTAGAGGCCCCAACGCCCGGCTGTGCATTCCACTGGTTTCCTTCCCTGTCTCCTGCGTTGCAGTTTATGTGAGCTGAGCAAATCTGAGCAGGAGCGAGCCCTGGCTTTGGCACTGGCTGGCATTCTATGGACCGCCGGAGCAGCTCAGAAGGCCACCATCTGCCTTGTCACTGAGGACACTTACGTGGCCTCCACTTCTGATTACTCCAGGGATGATTTCACGGAACAGGTACGTGCACTCCTGCCCACCCTGCAGGGGGCGAGCAAATGAAGCCTGGTTCTATAGGTGGAAGTGGAGGTGGAGCCACATCAGTGCTCCTGGAAGTAGCTGCGATGTGGCCAGAGAGCTCTGCCTCGGTTCAGGCGAGGACCGAGGGCTGTCACTTATCCATATAGCCAAAACAGGGGGTCCCGATGCAACTTTCTCCTCCCAGAATTCACCATGATTAAGAACAACTTATATGTAAAATTGTCATATACTTCATTCCCACATCAACTGTCTTAAAGACAACCAAACTACGTGGTTTTTCTATAAAATGGAATACTACTCAGCCATAAAGAATGAGAAATTAGAGTCATTCATAGGAAAATGGATGCATATTGAGGATATACTCCTAAGTGAAATAAATAAGTCACATGTGTAAATCCCAAATAGTTTCTCTGGTGTGAAAAACTATAATAGGGACATGAGATCCTAATGAGATAAGTGACAATGTGAAATAGGAAGAATAGGGCTAAAGGTGTAGGGAAAGTGGGAAGGGTGGGGGAAAGGGAATAAGGGAAAAGAAAAAACATGAGAAAATGAAAAAAATGGAAATAAAGTGTTTGTAAATGGGAAGGGGAGGAGGGGAAAGGGAGGGC